TCCGATCCCAACATGTCTTCTACTTACTGCAAGAATTCCTATAAGGAAATAGTGACTGACCTTGCTGAGTTTACTGTCTTCAGGAACAGATTATTTCCTCTACCTTCTTCCACCCAGGCTGTTCAAAGCATCTGATAACTACCCATGTTGTTTCATTTTCATGAAGAGCAGAAGCAAACATAACTGATATGCCTTATGTCTCACTCCACATTTGCTCTTCTGGAATCAGGTGTACACTACACATCCATGTGTAGCCATGAACTTCAGGCCTCCATAGCACCACAACCAAGCAGAAAAGCTGTGGAAAGCACGGCACTGGAGCTCCAGACCTGGTATCACAATGCTGTCAGTGAAAAACTGTTGTGGGCTCTACCCAGGCAGGCATTGTGAGAGAAGGGACTCGTTCCTATGAAGAGCCTGGAACCTGGAGAAAAAGTCTGAAGCCCTAGGCCAGAGAAGGGAGGGAGATCAGACCTAGGACTTTCCAAAAAGATTTTTTCAGGGACTAAGGGATGAGAAGAGGCTTAAAACTAACTCAGCTCTCAAAACTTGGCCTACCTTTATGATTTTTTAAGACTGTTAGTTGAATTTCAGATTCATAGCCAGCCTAAACCAAAACCTACTACATTGTTTCTGAATTTCTCAATTAGCCTTAGTATTAAAAAGATCAGGCCATCCAGTTCTGCCAAGCATAGAGGTACTCATCTGCTTGTAAATAAGATGTAAAATGTTCTGCTATGAGCTCCAGGAAACAGCTGTTTCTAAAACCCCAGTTAAAACCGAGCAGTATTAGTAAGGGAGTAGCATTCAGCAGCTCTGGACTGCCTAACAGCAGTACAGCAGCTAAAAAAGGAACCACAAAATCAACAAGAGTTTTCTGGAAGCATCAGAGAAGAAAAAAAATTACAGTTCTTGACCCTCAAAGTCTGCCAATTGTTTGTTTCATTTGTGTGAACTGAGAGGCAAGGTGTACCATGGTCCTTCCATATTTAACTTAGAGAGAAAATAGAGGGCTCCTTCACAGCAGTTCTTTCTATCATTTGAGTATTAGCTTTGGCATTTTAAAATGGAATGAAAATACTTTGTTTTCAGACACTCAACTTACCCATCACAGATTTCAAAGACCTAATGAATAAAACTTAACCTCTTGAGTACTGTTGTTCTATTTTAACTTGGAGTAAAGTGAGGCACAGATGAAAATTGTCTTGGCACACACAAATGAAGATCACATTTGAACCAGAAGCCACATCTCCCAAACTTCAGTTTTAGGCCTTGAACAGTTCTTTCTTAAACTTTTAATGGAATTAATTACAAAAAAATCCAGCTAATGTCAGTAGTTGAATGAAATCTGAACTTCTTTTGTCCTGGTCCTGCTATCTAGTATTATTTTATTAGGTTAATTTTATTTTTCTGCTGACTTAAAAGCAACAGGATGAAGCTCCCACTGACTTACTGAATTAATATATGCACACTGCCTACAACAACCATGTTCACACTTTAGTCACTAAAATTAGTTTGCTGAAAAAACACAGATTGCTGGTTTAGTTCAGACAGAAGTCAGCCTATTGGAATGTAATAATCCAACACTGGAAGGGCTATGAAGGAAAATCTTCTACTTCACACACAAAATCCTTGTTAATACAGTAATAAACCTGAAACTAAGTCAATGATAAAAGTAAACACAAAGGAGGAAATATAATGCCACTGATACGAAAACACAAGGAGTGCTGTGAAGAGAATGACTCTAAGTAATTCATACTTCCTTCAGCATGTATAACCTTGCATTTCCTTCCCATACACAATCATTAATTCACTTTGCTTGCAGTTAAAGCGCAATCTATTTCTGAAAACCCTGTGAATGATGTTGAGCTAGGTTTTTTACCCTACTTTTTGAGCAAATATTACAGAATCTCTACATTGTACTGATACTATAATCAAATATGGACCTTTCCAAAGAACAGCCTAATTGAATTCCCTTAACTGCCTCTATACATCACTGATTTCTCTTATAAAAAATGGACTAAGTCTTTTAATACTTTCAGATATCAGAACAGAAGGTTAAAGTGTCTACTAAATTAAGCTGCCTCACTGAAGGTTCTTATGATCGGTCTTAAAAACAACCGATCATATAGGCTTTCATATATTCAAGCGCAGCATTTCAGCCCGAGTACCAAGGTGACAAAAGCACACGATTAGAGACAGTCAAAAAGCTGAGTTCACCCGACATGGCAACTAATGAGAATTCATAGGGTCTGTAGAGACAAACACCCAATTCTCCAGAGTATTGCTGAAGTATGATAGCTTTCTTATCTCATTCCTTCAAACTTTCAAGCATGTAATGAGGCAGGAATCAGATACTAGATCTTTCTGAAGCAGATCTCAATGCCACTGCCTTCTCTTGTCTATCCTACACACTTTTGTATCCCTCTTAGCCCACTCAACTTTGCCCACCTCAGTGTTGTGAGTAAGCAGGAGCAATATTAATGGAACATGTGGGGTTGGCAGCAGATGCAAGAAGGCAGTGCAGGTGCTGGTGCAACAAGGGGATGAAGCAGCAGGAGGAGCACAGCCAATGAGCAAGTGGAGCCTGGGAAAGCACGCAGGTGGTATTTGGCTGAAAAGGTAGTGGCAACACAGAATGCATCAAGGACATGTTAATGTAAGGAGCAAGCAACTGAAGTCTAGTGTATGAAGAGGCTGATGAGGCTGTTGATCTCTTCTTTCCCCATTTCTAAACCTGCTGACTACTTGATCTGCATGGGCAGATCTGCCAGGAAGCTCCACACAGCTCTGCACTATATCACTCTGCACTAAGATTCAGCAAACCTACTGTTGGAACAGTGTCAGCTATTAAATTAATCCAGATTGTAGAGTTTTATTGTTAATACAGAATTGTTAGGGCTAGATTTGCTTTAGAGAAAAAAATATTAATATTTCAGATAATTATGAGTATCTCGAACTTTCCTGTTCACAGGAACAAATACTGAACATGTTTGTTGCCATATTCTAATTCTCTACCCTTTGAACAATATAGCTCGCCAGGAGAGGAGAACATCAGTTCATATATACCGAAGAAGTGTAGATTTTCTGAAGTTTCTTTCACTTTTATTACTATCATAGAGTCTCCTCCCAAGTCTACATCTTTGTGCTGTTCTTCTAGATCGAGCAGAGGTCTCTGTAAGACTGTGGCCTGCAAGGGTCTCTGACAGACTAAGAGGTAAATGGACAAAATGGAGTGTTCATGAAGAGGAGTTATCAGGAGTAGTCAGCATGGATTCACCAAGGGTAACGTCACGTTTGACCAATTTGATAGCTTTGTACAATGGTGTAACTTCATGGCTAGTAGATGAGGTGGCAGTGGATGTGGTCTACCTTCACTTCAGCGAGGCTTTCAACATTGTCTGCCACAGCATCCTGACAGCCAAACTTCAGAAATACTAATTGGATGACTGCCAGTGAGATGGGTTGGGAACTGGCTGAAGGACAGAGCTTAGACAGTTGTGCTAAGTGGGGCAGAGTCTAGTTGGAGACCTGTGTCTAGTGGTGCTCCCCAGGCAGGGGTCAGTACTGGGTCCAGCCCTGTTCAATATAATAAACAACGACCTGGACAAAGGGACAGAGTATATCCTCAGCAAGGTTGCTGATGACACAAAACTGGAAGGAGTGGCTGACATACCAGAAGGCTGTGCTGCCATTCAGTGTGATCTTGACAGGCTAGAGAGTTGAGAAGGAAGAAACCTAATGGAATTCAGCAAGGGTGAGTATAGAGTACTGCATGTGGGGAGGAACAACCCCATGTATCAGTACAAGCTGGGGAGGACCTGCTGGAGGGCAGTTCCATGGAAAAGGACCTGGTTGTCTTGGTGGACAGAAGGATGACCATAAGCCAGCAATGTGCCTCGTGGACAAGAAGGCCAATGGCATCCTGGGGTGCATCAGAAGAAGTGTGGCCAGTAAGGCCAGGGGGGTAGGGGGGTTCTCCTCCCCCTCTACTCTGCCCCAGTGAGGCCACATCTGGAATACTGCATCTAATTCAGGGCTTCCCAATCAATGAAGGACAAGTAACTACTGGAGAGACTCGAGCACTAGGCCACAAAGACGATGAGGGGACTGGAGCATGTGCCCTGTGAGGAAAGGCTGAGAGCTGGGGCTGTTAAGCCTGGAGAAAAGACAACTGAGGGAGGATCTCATTAATGCTTAAAAATATCTAAAGGGTGGGTGTCAGGAGGATGGGATCAGACTCTTCTCACTGGTGTCCACTGACAGGACAAAGGGCAATGATC